CCCCCCTCGAAGAAATCTCGACGGTTCCAACAATCCGAAAAACACGAGGAGTCGATCGAAAAGTTGTTTACGCCTTTCGAGATACTTTGCTAAACCCAAATTTCCTAAAGTGGCTGCTACGTCTGGTATTTAAATTTGGAATTGTCAAGCCACCTTGGAAAATTGCACCCACTGTGTCTAATGGGCTATTTATTACCAATTATAGCTCTAAATAAAATTATATCCAGTCGTGATATCTGACACAATGGCGATAAAAAATGTATATCTTAAATTCGATTGGATTATTTTTCTCAGAATCGTTAAGCCAACACATGGGTGGGAGCAGGTCGATATATGATCGATATGATCGATTAAAAAAATAATCGATTGAATTAATTACATAAATAATTTAAATATTTTTTACCATACTGATCTTATGAAATTATATTATGCGATAATTATTTTTTAATTTCTTTTAATTGCAATATTTTAAAAACTGAAAAAAAAATTAGATCTAATCTTTTTTTTATTTCCCGGCGTGCATTTAATATACTCTGTGTAATCCGTAAACGTCGTACGATCACTTTCGTAGAAAAGTAGTCGTAAAAACGGAAGTTACTACTCATAGATGTTCATTAACATGCAGGCGAATGTTACGACTTAGTCGATATATAAACCGGCCCATTAGGATCGCTGGGATGAAGTGTTGCGGTTTCCTTGGTTTCACTGGGTTGCCTACCAGGTTCGTACACTCTGCGGCGTCATACTTTATTTCTCTATTTAACGAGTTGAACTATATTACATGGATTGAATAGGAAAGTTACATCGAGTTTAAAAAATATATACATGCATATATATTTAATTTGTATTTATAACCTAAAAATACGAGTAACGAACGACCGAAGTTAACGTATGCATAATCATTAGAACTCGCCATAATAGAAATTGAACAATGCAATTGAAAATCCTGTTAATTAAAGCTAGTGCTCATTAGTCGACGAAAAATTCTTTTTTTTTTTCCTTTTTTCAATCCGCTACTACCACTTGCAGGAAGCTCGAAACGACGAGCATGAATTTGTTTCCGGTTTCTGACATTTTTATTGTAATTCTGACATAATGTCCGATGACAAAAAAATATGGCTGGAGGTTTAAACACAAAGAGAAATTAAAATTATTTTCCATTACGTACGAGAGAGTTGCAATTATGAAATTTAATTAGAAAAATTTTCCGTTATCTCGGTGCGTCGCTCGTTCTTCAAGTTTCAACTGCATTAAAAAAAAAAAAACTGAAATGATAAAAATAAAATCTCACCTCGAAGTATCAATAACAGAAAATCAATTTTCCCCTCGTCGTTGTCGTCGTGGCGGTTAGGCGTCGTTCCTTAATTCTACGTTTCCTCGGCCTTTCGAATGACTGACTCGGCTTATAGCGATTCTCAGGGCGGCCAACCGTGAATCGTCGTGCTTGTCGACGAGAGGAAAATCGGAAAAACGCCGAGGACGCTGTTGCAGTAAAACACCAAATGGAGCATGGTCGATCGAAAAGAAGAAAAATTCACTGGATATATCCGGCATTGGGCTTCTTTAGACGAGATGTCAACCCGGTTTTCGTTTTATATAAAAGTGTCAGGATTTACTAAGGATTCAAAAGACTTTCTCGTCTCTTTCACACAAAATTCTTGTCTCGCAATATAGAGTCCGCAGATGCGAAGACGTTCGAGTATAAAATAAAATTTTGCAAACTCCCCGTCCGCTATCCATACACGCGTGACACGTGTATATGAATGTGGAACCGACTATATAATAATATATATCAGACATACACATACATAAAATACATTACTTCGAGATGAAATTTTTTTTCTAATACTAATGCTTTATGGCCTCAAATATATATATGCTTTCTAAAAACGTATAAAAGGCTTTTATACGATAAATATACGAAATTTTATGTTATAAGATATCGACTTTGATATAGGACCGTGAGTCATCGATGGAGAAATTTTCAAAGTAATTCCAAATATATTGGTATTTGTAGGAAAAAAAGAATTGAAATACTTTATTGTGTATATGACATATCCCGTCGGCCGATTCGTACATTGCTTCAACTGGCCTCCTAATAAGTAATGGCTGACCCATTTCGTGCGCATGCGCACAACACAAATTTCGTAGTGCACCGTCAACTCCGCAAACGAGCGCCACGTGAGCATCGTTAAAGAAGTAACTTGTAAATATTATCCCTTGTCATGATCCGAATATCGTAATAACGTAGCACAGTAAATTCACCAGTGGCGGTATTATCTTTAGGAGTGTCACCTCTGCAGGCGACGACGGCCGTCGTTGTTCACGTCAGAAACTCTTGTCGCGGCACACGGCTGCATTACGCTGTGTTTATTCCCGGTAGAGTTTCAATTATAACTTACGGTGAGTTAGCGTGGCTTTTACTTATGGCAAACTTCACGCATGTAGACGGAACGTGCATTGTGTTTAACCACTAGGAATTTTCATAATTTACCCATACCTGAAATTCCGTATATTTCGATAAAAAAATGGCGCCTTCCCAATTACATATGACATTAAAATAATTCGATATAAAAGTTATGTTGAAATATTTTTAAATCATCGTTAATAATGCTGCTTTATGAAAAATCGAATCGATGCTTCCTGTTATTCATATACAGATATTTCATATGTAACAGGGATGCCCAGGCGATCATTAATTAATTAAGAGATCAACGATAAATCATACGACAGTCACTGGAGCTCTTGTCAAGTCGTTAATTAATATTTTATCGAGTACCTTATCGACTCGAACATCTGGCGGATTATGATTAAACAATAATATTTTTTAAGTGTCCTAAATGGAAAAAGCTCGTTTCATTATGAAATTAATTAATTCTATTTATGCATATTCACGTACAGGATTATTCAGGAGTATCGAACCACGTGAAGTTCGTTTCGCTATAGGATTCAAGTGGATAGCCTAGGCTAACTTCAGTCGGTTGTCAGTTAGCATACGTTCCGAAATTCATTTCTAGTTAGGCTATGGCTCTCTCGCTCAATTCTATTCAGGTAAATAGAGACACGACGATACTCGTAGTACAGTAATGAATATCAGAACGTACCTTCGGTAATACTCTTGAATATATTCTCTTATAACTGTATATATATCACAATATCGATCGAGCGTTTGAATAATTTTTTTTTATGTAACAAAAATTCCATTTTCTAACGTAACCATGGACACGTCCAATTATACCCTTAATGGATCGTGCTTCCACTGTAGAAAAAAAAATGACTGTGACGTATGTTATTACGAGACCCACGAAACTGAGTGTGATAGATTTTCACTTCGGCAAAGTGGAGTTACTGGCGGATGAAATTTACTTTGAACCAGACGATCAACTATTATATATGATATACAGGGCTATTCACGGCAAACGTACCAGCTGAAGATGGTCGCGATTGAACAATTCTGTTAATCGAGGCAGTGTGGCCTTGTTAAAGAAATGAAAAAATGTGAAATTCATGATCTTAGCAGTGACGTTAACTTTCATTTTTTTAATGATGCCACTCTGCTTCGATTCATGAAATCATCCATTCACGGCCAATTTCAGCCGATGCGTTTGCCGTGAATAACCCTGTATATATGTATATGTATACGTATATATGCCAGGTTATTCAGCCCGAACATACCACCTGAATATGGTTTCACCATAGGACTCCAATGGGCGCGCCAACTTCAGATGGTGCGCTTCTACTGAATAACCCTGTATAATGTCGATGGGAAGGGAGGCATGTTATACAAGGGACGTTCTTGAAAGAGTAACATTAAAAAATTTACTTGACTTTTCCGTCCGACGTGAAAATATGTCGGAAAGTATGCCTGAGAAAAAAAAGTCGTACGGAGATACGTGAATTTGTCGTACTTTTGAAAAGCATGTTGGGATTTAATGGTACTGACAATAAGTTGCTGAAAATTTATGAGAAAAAATTCTATTTCGCGCTCGTTGCTGCTTGTGGAATATTAATGGCGAAGAATAGCGTTAAAAAAAGTTTATTTTTCTTCCTGCAATGCATACTGTCCATTGTGATCCATACGTTTATAATTGTAATATTCATCTAGGAGGATAGTGATGCTTTGAAGACAAAAAATTGACTTTGCTCAGTCATAGCGCAAATTGAAATGGAGTAGGCATATAGACTTAAGCTCGTTCCGTTGTGTCGTTTATTAGCATTAATAAATCACTGGTAGAA